TCCGTGTCCTCGTGACACCTCTGCTCCTCCTTTCTGCCAGTTTGAAGTGCTTGTTCGCCAGCACCGCGCACCTGGAGGTGGACTTCATAGGGTACATGCTACGCCCAGGAGAAGCAGTGGACGTGCCCATCACCTTCTATCCCAGAGAGATTGCATCTTACCACGAGCTTATCCCTTTTGAAATCAATGGTCTTTGCCAGCAGACTGTTGAGGTCCGAGGAAAGGGCATAGAAATGAAGGTGAGATGAAACCCAAAGCCTAAAACGCCAGGCAGCAGAAAGCCGGCACGGCTTTCTCTCTCTAATTTTCCTCCATCTTTTCTCTAGCTTACCATATTTTGGTTTTCTGCCATGAAGGTGGTGGAAAACCCTTTCTCCTTGTTTCCTTTCACTTTACATTAATCCTTGCCGCCTCAGGTTGACGTTGTGGAACCGCAAGGAAAAGTGGTGAAGCTGGGAGCTCTTTCCATCGGGCAGACGGTGAAGAAGTTTGTCACCATAGCCAACAACAGCGCTGCCCCTCTCACTTTTAAGCTCGGTCTCATGTCCACCACACCAGAGCTGCAAGAAGCTGGGGTAAGGCCTCTTCCTTCACTGGAGAGCACTTTGGTGTGGCTACAGGGCTGCCTGCAGGCAGCTACAAGCTGCTCTGGGTGGGAGCTAGTAGCTACTCTCAGTTGTATGCTGTCCTGTCCTCACTACTGGGACTACTCTACCAGCAGATAATGTTGAATATTTCATCTGAGTGTCAGGACTCCCCTAAATAGCCAGAAGTTGTGGAGAAGGTACAATTCTTCTCATGTTTTAGATGTGTACGTTGAGATGTGGCCCTGTCTGTTAGATAAGGAAAGGTAATCTTTACAGACCAAGAGTTACGGCTCTCTTGGAGCTGATGTGAAATTATTTTGGAAGACGTAGTCCAGCTCACCATGGCCACGTCAGGAAAATACCTTTGGTACCCAGGGATGTGTGTGCCAGGGAATGAGTAGGATTGCAGCAATGTTGGTGAGGACAGAAGAGGAATTGGAAGGCTCTATGGAGGATTCATGGCTCCGTTGCCAGATGAAATAGTCCCTCCTCATTTCTTTGGGCAGGTTCTCTCCTTAAACCCCTCCCACGAAATAAGTCTGAAGCCCAAAGGAGACACCTGTAAAGTGGAGGTGACCTTCTCCCCGAAGCGCCGCATCCAGCCGTTCACCGAAGAAGTGGTGTTGGAGTGCGGCGGGCTGGTGCGCTCCCTCTTCATGGTGCGGGGCTCCTGCCAGGGCGTCCACGTGAGCTTGGACCAGGAACACCTCAGCTTTGGAGCGGTGGTGCAGCAGGGCTACACATCCCAGCGCGTCATCATGCAGAACACAGGCGACGTAGGAGTCAAGTAATGCAAAACCCTGTCTTATCTGAGGGCTGAGAGCTTGGATTGAGAGTTGGATGGAGCTAGAGCTTGCCCAGAGAGTTCCACTCCGCTTTTCCGTCGCAGTGCAGCCCGGGCTGTGCAGTCAGGCCCTGGAAGTTAGCAGGGAACACAACAAAGGCTCTTTTACAAGCTGAGTCTTGCCCAGCCTGAAGCCTTGTTGCCAGCTGGCTCAGCACTGTGCCTAAGATCCTACGGGAAAGCCCACGAGAGCCTTAGAAACAGCACGTTGCGTTCGCAGCCTCCTCGTTTTGCTAATCCTTCCTTCCTGTCACTCTGCTTCCCTTGTGGCAAGGTTTAAGTGGGACACCGAGAGCTTCAAGCCGGATTTCTCCATCAGCCCCGCAAAGGGTTACATCTCCCCGGGAATGGAAGTCCCCTTGGTTGTGACCTTCCACCCTCCTAAGCTGAACCACAACATCCAGTACGAGGGCCTGCAGTGCTTCATCCAGGGCGGCGAGCCGCTCCGGCTTACGCTGACAGGATGCTGCGAGGACACCCCTGTGACCAAAGAGGTAAGGCAGGATGAGTGTGCGTCCTCCTGACCCCACCGTTTGCACCACATCTCTCGCAGGGCAGGGGCTGGAGGACGCGTAGAAGCGTAGACACCCTGCAGGACTCTTCTGAGAGCCTCCCCGCTGAGCCACCCAGCTCTACTCTCCCATGTTGCAGCCACGTTTTTCCTCTCTGTCAGAGCAGGGGAGGGCGCTGGGCATTAGGAGCAGAGAGGTGTCTGTAGCCAGCTCCCTGGGGCAGAGGGGTGCAGCATGGAGCGCTCCTCCTCCTCACGGGTGTTACAGCACAGCTGGGAGATGCTGGCTCTTGCTCTCAAAAGACAACTTGGAGCTGCTCTTCAGCCTACCCACGAAGGGGCTGTGTGCTGCAAGGCTTGTCCTTGTGCAGGAGCTCGAGTACTGTGTCCAGTTTTGGTCACCACAGTGCAAGAAGGACAGCGAGGTGCTGGAGCGAGTGCAGAGAAGGGCAACTAGGATTGTGAGAGGTCTGGAAAACATGCCCTGTGAAGAGCGGCTGAGGGAACTGGGTTTGTTTAGTCTGGAGAAGAGGAGGCTGAGAGGAGACCTTATTGCCCTCTACAACTACCTAAAAGGAGGCTGTAGTGAGGCTGGTGCTGGTCTCTTCTCTCTAATTACTAATGACAGGACAAGGGGAAATGGCCTCAAGTTGCGTCAGGGTAAGTTTAGATTGGATATTCGGAGGAAGTTCTTTCCTGAACGAGTGGTGAGGCACTGGAACAGGCTGCCCAGGGAGGTGGTGGAGTCACCAACCCTGGAGGTGTTTAAAAAAAAAAGTAGATCTAGCACTTGAGGCTGTGGTGTAGTGGTTGGGTGTGCTGGGATGAAGGTTGGACTGGATGATCTTCAGAGGTCCCTTCCAACCCCTGACATTCTGTGATTCTGTGATTCTGTTTTCTTTCTCCCCTCCTTGGGGAGGCAGCAGGCCCCTTTTTCACCCAGCCTGCGAAAGGTTTCTTCATCTCCCTTCTTGAAGACCAATTCGATTTACTGCAAAAGCTATGGCCCGAGCGGAAATTTTTCACGTAACGCGGGAAAGCTGCTCCCTGTGCTTTGGGTCCTGGCGTAGAGCCTGTCAGAGCGGAAAGGGTTCCTCGGTACTCCAAGCAGCCTCTGTGCTCCTCTGTTGCAGACACTGACTTTCTCATGCGACGTGCGCGAGGAGCACAGCCAGATCATCCTCCTCTCCAACCCGAGCAACGAGACCTGGGCTGTGCGACCCGTCATTGACGGGGAACACTGGAAGGGCCCTGAAGTTTTCCATCTGGAGCCCAATCAACAACAAAAGCCCTACAAGATCATTTACAAGCCCTTAACCATGAGCTCGAAGAATAAAAAGCATCAGGTACGTGAGCTGTGCTGACCCTTACAGCTCGCCCTGCTTTGGGCAGGAGGTTGGCCTCTTGTCCAACTTTGAGGTCTGACCAAGCTGAAATTGTCTTGTGATCTGTGTTGGAAGATGGGTTTCTCGATGGCTAGAAGCCAAGCGTGGGAGGAGCGCAGGCGGGAAGTCTGGAGTGACCACTAAACCTGTTGGAGCAGTTAACCAAAAAAGGCAGCTTTTCTGAAGGCCCAGCAAACAAAGTTTGTTCCGTGCAGCTCTTGGTCCTTGCCCCTGAAGTCCAGGGTGGGGCTCAGGGATCCCTGTGCTCAGCCTTGGGAGCTGCACAGGCTCCCCAAGCCCTGGGCATGACCACCCCAGCCCTGCTGAGGTCCTTTTGCAGTGTGCCCTGATGTTTCCCAGTCTCCCCTGTATGGGAAATGACAGAGATGTCTCTTGACATCACCTTTGGGAATGTGGGAGCTTTGGAAAGAGCCCTTCCTGGAGGTCTCAAGCTGAGCAAGTGGGGCAGGACTGGCCTCTCTTTCCGAAATACACCAGGGACAAGCTTGTTAAATCGAGGGGATCGATTCAGAACTCCTCTGGGGTGCTGGAGGCGAGTGTCAGGCACCTTGTCCTGCTCCAGCTGGCATTAAGCTAAACCAGAATTCAGGCGTGGGCAAGAGTGGAGGAGAAAGACTTCTGGCCTCAATCTCCAGGGTGCTCAGCAGAGCCGTGCCCTGGAGGTTTGCATACGCTCAGCACCTCTTTAATGTACAGCCCCGCGTGAAGAGTCCAGCAGTTTTCAGCCATGCTGGAGGCAGAGATGCCACAGGGCAGATGGCTGCGACCCATTGGCATCTGAAATGAGTGCTGGGTATGGGCTTTTCCTGGGCCACCACACTGCCTTACCCACCACTCTCTTGTTGGGACTAATCCCAGCACTGCTGGGACAGCCAGCTGTGCTCAAAAGCTGACAACTGGTCCAGACAGAGAGCAGGCGAGCTCGCTTACCCTATTTCTTGTCTTCTAGGGCTCCATCTTCTTCCCATTGCCGGATGGGACAGGCTTGTACTACCTCCTGCAAGGGACTGCTGAGACCCCAAAGTGTTCGGGCACCATTTTCCGGCAGGTGCCGTGTAGGACTTCCTACACTGAGATCATCCCTGTCTCCAACTGGTTGAACAGACCGCAGAGGTGAGTCTGGCCCAGGAAGTCTCATCCCATCAGCAGCTCAAGGAAGGGCTTCCCATTGCCTTGGAAGCTCCTTCCTGCAAGCTTTGCGTTCTCCTTGGCTGTTTCTGGTCAAGAATCGGGTCTGGGATCACGCTACCCACGCTCTGCCTCTGCAGACCCATCCTGGAGGGCTTTCCTCCAAGGTGGGTGAGAGCTGGCACCCTCTGCCTGAGTCATCGAGGATGAGAGGGGTTGTGCTGTACCCTCACATGATGTGTATCCCATGAGAGTCCTTCCTGGTGACCTTCATCGCAACCTTCTCACCCCCAGGTTCCTCGTGGTGGTGGACATACTCAAACCAGAACACCCAGATAACAGTTCCAGGCTGCAGGGGCTGAAATACATTGACGTGCCAAGTTCTGCCACGACGGACTACAAGCTCACATTCCTCTCCTACAAAGAAGGAGTCTTTGAAGCGACGGTAAGTGTGGACACCAGGCTGTGGGGAAGCAGCGGGCAACTGGCAGACCACAAAGCACGTGCTTTCCCTGGTCTTGCGCTCTTCCTCAGCAGCTGTTCTTGGAAGTAGGGCTCGGTGCTTGGAGGGTTCTTTGGGCTGGCTTAGCACAGCTGCTGTATTTTTACGTGCGGAATGAGCAACGCTTCCCTTTTTCTCTGATTCAGCTGACTTTCCTCAACGAGGTGACCGAGGAGTACTTGTTCTACATGGTGACTTTCAAAGCCGTCGCTTCGGAACCCGTCAGCACTGTTGAAATGACCACAGCTGTTCGGCAGAGAGTTTCTTCCACCATCAAAGTGGACAACCCTCTGCCTGACCCAGTGACATTCACCATAGATTGCGAAGTGTCCGAAATCTACGTTCCCCCACATTTCACCGTTCCTGCGCAGTCGGAGGTAGGAGCAAAACTTACCTGGGAGCGGGTGTGCTTAAATAATGTCCTGCCTGAACCATCTAGGGTCTCATTCTAAGGGTGACAGCACCCACCTGCTAATAATCTGAAAGGGAAGAAGTGCGTGAGAATATCCTCGGTGGGATCTGCCCTGATGGAATCTGCCTTACCGTGCCGGCAGGGTATTTGCAGCCTGGATTGATAGTTGGTGATATGTGCACTGGGGGAGTATAGAGGTGTGATATTTGCACTGGGGGAGTATAGAGGTGTTTTAGGGTGGGAAGCTCCTGGGATAGTGCTGGAGGGCTCACAGCTCATGGGGACAGTCCCCCACAAGCAGCAAAGCTCTGCCCCAGAGAGAGGGAGTTGGAGCGAGGGAGGGTGCTGAGCTGCCATCCAGCACTGTGGGAGTGCACCAGGAACCATTTTCCCTGACTCTGCCTGATCCGATAGCTTTTCCTCTCCTTTCTCCCAGGCCGACCTCGTTTTTGAGTACCTGCCCTTGAAAATGGGTGAGAGCACCGGGCGCCTGGTGCTCCAGAGCAGCAGCTTGGGCTCTTCCTACTACAACCTGCACCTGAAAGCCACCAAGAGCAGACCAGAGAAGCCCCTCTACTTCTCCACCACACTGGGCTCTAGTCAGACCATCACCACCAAAATCACAAATTACGCCCGGCAGAAGACAGACTACCTCCTCCAGGTAACTCCAGCGTGCCCTGGGCTCTCGCAGGGAGGCAGCTCATGTGGCCAGCATCAGCCCTCTCTGGCGAGGGATCCTGTCCCTCTAGCTTGGTCTGGCACAGCCGGGGTGGCCGTGTGAGCCCAGGGGTCATAGAATCAAGGAATAGTTTCAGCTGGAAGAGACCTTGAAGGTCGAGTCCAGCCTTTATCCCAGCCCTATCAACCGGCTGAACGATTCCCCCCAACGCAACATCCACCCATCTCTTCAACACCTCCAGGGACGATGACTCAACCACCTCCCTGGGCAGCCTGCAGTGCTGACAACCCTTTCAGTAAAGAAATTCTTCCTAATATCCAACGTGACCCTCCCATGGCACGATTTAAATCCATTTCCCCTCGTCTTCCCACTAACACTGGGCTTGTACCCAGCTGGACTGCCCACACTTGCACTCCTCTCAGCTGCCCTCGTTGAAG